TGGTCCGCGTGTCGACGGCTTCACATCATTTGAACATCACAACGCCGGCTTTCTACCTGCAGCAACCCACGACACGCACAGTCATGCCGTCTCGTAGTGGAAAACGTCCTCATTGCGATAGCATCGACAGCGACTCGCCTGCGCCGAGCAAGAAGTACAAGCAAGCCACCTCTTTCACTTCCGATACTTCTTCAACATCGACAACGTCGACTGCTAGCTCTATCGACTTCGATTATCCTTCAATACAAACACCACTCAGCATTGACACTCTCATGCCGGCCTTCAAGAGCGTGCAGTACGACCGTCCCACCTACCGCTCAGTATCACCACAGCCACCATCACCCAGATCGCATTGAAGCTCACCTCATTAAAGGTGCTACGAAAGAAACGGCCTCGCATTTTGTTTTGATAACATTGGATACCACTTTGCATCCCTCGGCATAAGCTGAGGGCACTCTTTTCGGCATCAAGACCAAGAATGATTCCCTTTTTGTCTTTTTACGCGGAACACGAAAAACACCGAGCCTGGACCTCGGTTACCAATACTTGACTTGTCTAATTCGCGGAGTTATACACATAGAGCGGAGGATTTAAAGAGTCACGGTAGACTTTGGTACATATTACATTGGTAGTTAGACGATTGGAATAATGGCTTGGGGGACATGTTGGGCTCAGAGGTCCAGTATTAATGGCAGATGTTGATAAGTAGGTAGTTCATAAATACGCAGCAGTCCCCCCGTTGTTGATACAGACAAACGCCAGACCCGTCTCGTAATCATCATAAATCATATCAGTGCATCTTTGTCGGTCAAATCATCTCCCACCACATGACTTCCTCTTCCTGGCAGTGCATGCCGATCTCGAAATTCCGCTCCATTGTGGTCATGGAATTTTCCATGACTAGAAGCTCCACACGCGCCATGGCTGCTCCATCTCCTGTCTGTTTGGCCGCCATGTACTCGGCCATGAGCTCGGCGTGCCGGCTCTCGTAGTCCTGACGGACACGGCGCCTCCGGGCCGCCGGATCGCACGCTGCGCACGTGTCGTTGAGATGTTGAAATTTGACATTGGGAGTGCATGGACGAGAGTTTGTGGCCATACCACATGTTGTGGCATAGTTTGTGAATGTGTGGCCGCAAGCCATCGTGGTCTTGATCCTTGTGCACATGTCGATTGCAATTGAGTTTAGGAAATGTTCGAGAGGAGGAAATCGCTGATAATTGGGCGCAATTGCGTATAGGCTGTAAGCCAAAGATGGCGGTCAAGAAGTATTAAAGATGAATGTGATTTTTGAGCGCCGTGGGCTTGGAGAAGAGAGAATGCTCACGTTAAAAGCATTTCTTTATTTACAAATCTGTCCATGATAGAATATCAACTAGATTCCAAGAATTCTCCAGTCTATGCCTTCTTTTTGATCCTTTCTGCGATCATAGAGATGGGTCCCCTGTCCAGGTCGTCTCTGGTGGATGTCGCATGATGATCATGGCACAAAGGCTTCACCGCCATCCTACGCCTCCCAAGTGCGACTAAGAAGTCCAACAAAGAACAGGCCGCCTGGTGTTGAGAGCGGTCGGTGCACTGTGTGATACTGAAATAGCTAATCGGATTGCATCCGCGTCAAAGTCAGTTGCCTGTTTGAGATATTGGGACATGAATGTACGCTCGTAATCGCTATTATCCTATTCTAATCTACATATGTATTGTGCTATTTTTCTTCTTCTTTGCTCTTGTATGAGCGGTCTTGTTTTATGAGGGGAGTTTTCTTTGCTAATAGCCCCATCAAAACTGCAAACCCAAACCCAAACGTCTTATATGTCGTCCGTCATCACTCTTCCGGCTTTGACTCCTGTCGAACCTGAGTTGCCGGCCTCTGGCGATGACTCGGTCTTGGGCTTGATGCTCTTCCATTCCACACCAAGAGCGCAAATCAACTGGGCTAGAGTCAATGCCAGACTCACAAAGAATATCCGCGTAATGGCAATGTTGTAGGCGTCCTTCACCAGGGGCATATACTCGGCCGGAACTATCTTGTTTAGTTCTGTAGCGCCCGCATCGACAATTTTCTTGGGCGTGAGGTTGGGTATATCTGATAAATGCTTGGCGAGAAGCCCGTTAAGCACAGTCTGCCCAACGGAGACAAATATGGCACCACCGAGTTGCTGCGCGAAGAAGGTGATCGAGATTCCGATGGGGATATCCTCCTTGGGAAGTGTTGCTTGAACAGCAAGGCCGGAAGTCTGCATTCCAAGGCCCAAACCGAAGCCAACAAGGAATTGATAGGCAATCCAGTGCGATGAACCCGTGTCTGGCTTGAGCGTGGTCAAGAGCCCTTCTCCAATGGCCATGATACAGGGACATATCAGCATAGATGGGACATAGTAGCCAATGCGCTGGGTGAAGGCAGCAGAGAGAATACTAGCTACGACAAGGCTTAGCACCAGCGGGATCGTATAAATGCCCGAGTCGACGGGTTTGGCGCCCTTGGTAGCCTGGACTAATAATTTGTAAGCGTATGTTATCAACAAGATGAAGACAGAAGATGGGGCTACTTACACCACAAGGGGAGATAGTAAACGACAATCATCATACCACCACCAACAAACAGCATAGTCCATGCACAGGCCAGCATGGTCCTCTGAGTGATGACCTTGGCGGGAACAGTTGCGGTCTCGGGCATCTTGATTTGTATGAGAGCAAAAACGAAGGCTGTAAGAGCGAAGAGAACGAAGAGCAGGATTATTCGCCAGTTGCCCCAGGGGTAAGTCGAGCCACCCCATTGAAGGGCCAGGATGAGGCAGATCATGGATGGCACAAAGAAGAATGTTCCGAGCGGGTCTAATCGGGTGATATGTTTGAGAATAGGAACAGGTTCGTGCTTCTTGGGTGATATGTGGAGGAAGAAGAAGAGGAAGACCGAGGCGACGATTCCTACAGGGAGATTCATATAGAAACACCATCGCCAAGTGGCATGCTGAGTGAAGGCGCCTCCAAGAAGAGGTCCAACAACGGACGAGATACCAAAAACCATGCCAAACATAGCTATAAATGTGTTAGCCGTTGCTCGTCTAGCCATAGAGGGGAGAGTTGTATACTTACACTGAAACATTGGCCGCTTATGAAGAGGAATCATGGGAACAATGGACATCATCGACCCGGTCATGATGCCTGCTGAGCCAATGCCAGCAATAGCTCTTCCGATAATGAAAGCAACAGAATTGGGAGCGGCACCACAAATAGCAGAGCCAATCTCGAACAGCAAGATACAGACAAGGAATGTCGTCCTCAAAGGGTAGAATCGATAGATACGACCAAAAATGAGCTGAAAGGCAGCTGTTGTGAGCATGTATGCAGAACCATACCATCCTATGTCGCCTAGACTCTGGAAGTCGTTTGTGATTTGAGGAATGGCAGTTGCAATGATTGTGCGGTCGAGAGCGACGAGAAACATGGCAGCAAAGACGGAGAGGATTATAAGCCAGAACTTGAGTGTCTTTGGTTTGTAGTTCTCCTGAGCTTCTTTGTCGAAGGCTGGGCCCTTGGGATTCGACTCATCTTCCTTGGGGTCATTTGCTGACTCTTGCTGGTTGCCTTGATGTGATTGAGGCTTCTCATCTTGTGATGATATTTTGTTGCTAGGCTCGAATGGAATTTGTGGTTCGGCTGATGAGAGCGAGTTGAATGATTTGCGATCCGGAGCATGAGATTCGGTCTTGTCAGGGGGAGACATGGTTGAAGCTGAAGCTGAAGCTGTTCAGCAAGAGATGCAGGGGCTTATAAGATGTGATATTATAAGGCTTATTAGTATTAGTATATCTGTAGACGTTGGAAAACACTGGAATCTGGTGCTGCTGAGCAAGATGAGGCTTGTTGAACAGGACATTTTGCTAGATATATATCTACACTACAAGTAGGTAATCATCGGGCAGACTCAAAACCGAGCCATGCCATAAGTTGAAACTAGCGGCAGGACCTAGAAGAGATTTGCACATAGAAAATGCGCGTGCTCGGTCAATACTCATCCTAATAGAGACAATTACGAAAATTGACCCGAGAGAAGTGGTTTGACGTAGAATAAGGGTCCCGAAGGTGAAGGAGTCAGTTATAGGTCGGATCCGGAGACCACAAAGCTATACTCGATTGGGAAATCAAAGTCGCGAAGATGCCAAGAGTGTCCCCTCCCTCGGGACCGACGGACATAAACTCATCATGAGCAACACTTGAGCTTGACAACTCTCGGCCATTTTCCTGTCTACTGCCCGAGGAGAGCCTCCCAATGGTACTTCGTCTCTTCTTCATTTCGCCCTTGGATTACACGTCTTGACCCGCCCTTGATTGTATCTGATCCGCTCAACCTCATTATCAACACCCATTAACACGCAAAGACCGAGGGGGCCAATCAGTTCAACCCTCCTTACGATATCAACCAGTCTGTCATAAAAAGAGCACGGCCGCCAAGCAAAATTCAAGCTCCCGCTCCCGTAATCTCGGGCCCGAAGATCGCAAACACGCCATAATTATCCATCCAACACATCGCAACGTTCGTCTCCTCTTCTGCAGATCTGTCCTGTCACTGGCCACAAGCAGATGGATGGATGCGTTTGTAGGTCCCTGACTCTGATCCCTACTTGCCCACAAGCTACTTTACTGTAGATAGGCAAGTATCTTGCTGTAGGGCTGAGAATTTTGACAGTCCAGTCAGTCAGTACCTGCAGCTGAAAGAGACTTGCAGCTCAGGGAACTCATGAGAGTCTCTCAAATCTGAACAAAAACGCCTCTTTCCAGGGCATACCCCCGCTCTTCATTCGCCGCCACGTCAACACCCAATAACGCGTGGCTGTTGCTGTGTCTTATCGTCTCAGCTCGCACTCGCCCTTGCCCGAAACCTCCTTTGCCGTCGCCTGTACCCCTTGCCCGGTCCCGTGCAGATCCGGGATAGGTTACCCACTCCGTCCGGGTCAGACCATCCGGCGGTTCGGTCCTCACACCGTTACTGACTGGCCATGCCCTACCCAAATGGTATTCCCGGTGTCCCCGGATCGGCCCCGCAGCAGCAACAGCAGTCTCAAGTACAGCAACCTCAGGATCCTTCAGCCATCAAATTAACTCGAGGGACCAGCTGTGTGCTTTGTCAACAGCGTAAGGTCCGCTGTGACAAGAACAAGCCGTGTGCCAACTGTGTTAAGGCCAAGGTTGAATGTCGTGTTATTCCACCCCAGCCTCCTCGACGCCGGAAGAAGCGTCTCCAGGAGAAGGACCTGATCGATCGGCTTAAAAAGTACGAAACCCTTCTCGCGGAGCATGGTGTCAAAGTTGAGGCCATCGGGCATGAATTAAGACCTGATGGGCCCCCCGGTGAAGATGTCGAGGAACTTGAGAACGATTTTGAAGGCCTTAAGACAACCCCTGAAGCTAGTTCATCTCCTGCACCGTCCAATTCAGAACAACGGTATGCATCCTACAGACAATGCATGTCGACGCCCCTCGAAGTACTTATGCTCACATGATTATAGGACTGGCGGCGGGGCGTGGTTTTCTTATCACAAGGAGGTAGGCTGAGTTACCCTCTCACTCACTGCAACCGTCTAATATTCAACGTAGTTTCGAGCCAGTGAACACATGCTGCAAGATTCCTCTGATGATGAACCTGAAGTAGGCTCAAGTATCCATCGTGCTTTTGATCGAATGTTTGACACAGATGGATTTCCTTTCATCGTTGGAGCTGCCCCAGTCCCTATCGCGAATCTTCATCCTTCCACAATACACATCTTCCAGCTCTGGCAAATATACATCGACAACATTAATCCCCTGCTCAAAATAACACATGTCCCTACAGTTCAAGCACAGATCATAGAGGCGAGCTCTGATCTTGAAAATGCACCAAAGAACATAGAGGCTCTCATGTTCTCCATGTACCTCATGGCGATCACATCGCTTGAGGATGCAGATGTTTACAAAAGGTTCAACGAGACCAAAAAGGAGCTCCTGGCAAGATACCATACTGGTACGCAGCATGCACTGACGAAAGCCGGGTTTATGAGGGTCAACGATCCTATTCTCTTGCAGGCGTATATTCTTTACCTCGTAAGTTTGACCTGAGAATTCTTTTGTGAATGCTGTCGCTTAACCTTTCCTTAGTTTGCTGTTCGATGGTTTGTTGACCCTCGTCAAGTATTCTGCCTCATTGGTTTAGCTGTCCGCATTGCCCAGCGGATGGGACTTCACCGCGATCCAGCCCAGTTTGGGCTGCCGCCATTTGAGGTTGAGCAGCGTCGCCGACTGTGGTGGACCCTTGTGGGATACGATCGACGGCTAGGAGAGATGGCCGGATCAACAGTCACTGCCCTCTCGACTGGGGGTGACTGCAAGATTCCGATGAACGTCAACGACTCGGATCTACATGTTGACGGTAAAGAGTTACCCACACCACACTCTGGACCAACCGAGATGCTCTTTTCTCTTACGAGAGTCGAGCTCGCTATGGCGGTTTCGAGCGATAGTAATCGCGACAGCTACAAAATGAACAACACAGATAAGAGTCCTGCTGGGACACCTGCTTCCAAGAACCAAGCTACCATCCGCCTTGCTGGTCAAGACGGCCCTGCCTATACGCTCGACGGTTTCTGTGCACACATAGAAGGCACTTACCTGAGCCAATGCGACCCTAAGATCCCCCTGCATTTCTTTACCCTTACCATGACTCGTCAAGCTATGTGCAAGATGCGAATTATTAGCTTCCTTGTTCGAATGCATAGCAATGACGACAATCTGCCCCTTAAAGACGTTGAACGCGACAGCCTCTTCTTGCAAGCCACGCAAATGATCGAATACGACAACGTGGTCCAGTCGTCCGAGTCCCTCCGGCCCTTCAAATGGTATTCTATGCACCACTTCCCCTTTCCCGCTTACATGTTTCTTGTCCAGGAGTTGCGCCACCGCGTCTCTGGCCCAATGGTAGAGCGAGCATGGGATGCTATCGAAAAGAATCATGACCTCCGTGGCCTTCTCAATAACTACCACAATCCTATGCATATGGCTTTTGGTGGCCATTTTATTAAAGCCTGGGATGCGCATGAAGCTGCCTTGGTAGCTGCTGGCAGACAAGCCCACAGACCAGCTTTCTTAGGACCTTTGCGTGAGCGTGTAGCAGCTCGCCGGCGAGCAAAGCAGGCCAATCGACCTGTTCCAAATCCCCCCCAGCCTCCAGTCGGCGTACCACATTCTCAGGTCACGACGCCCTCTTCCACTGGGTTTGCTCCTTCTGTTGGCCACATGACGCCTGGAACTGTAAACCATGGCCAACGTGCAAACTCGGGCTCCGTTGCATCCAGCGACGAGCCTGGTGAGATGGACTGGACTTATATGATGTCTGGTTACAACGACACTTCAAGCTTTACTCCCATGGGCGGATTTGGCAGCTTCAGTGGTGGCTTTGGAGGGGGGATGCCTGGTATGCCTGGTATGCCACCAGGGATGGGAGGTATGGGGCACCCTCCGACTGGTAATCCTCCAGGTGGTCGTATGTATGGTGGGAATTAGAGCACTATGAGCAGTGATGTGATACGATATACGAGCGCCATTGTTCCTCTGTTTATTCGCTTTGGTCCTTCCAAGTGGAATGCTTTATCTTGGATGTTGTTTACATAATAGTATTTGAGTATGATACAGTATACCGGTATCTAACATTCTATTTCCCCTGTGTTTCTTTTCCTTGGCAACTGCCTCACATACAGCTCACAATCCTAGCTCGAACTAGAATACGCGAATGACCCCAGAGCACCATAATCACAAGAACTGTTTATTCATGCTGCCATTTGTGCCGGACTCAAGACGGCCTCACATCAACCTATCTCCGACCCTTGGATAATGCAGTGTTCTAGTCAAGATTTCTAAGCTAAACAACTTACTGGGCATAGCTGAGGACCACAGATCGGAAGCGCACCCAACTTATTCAAAAGGTGGCGTTTACTCATAGAAGCCCGCCAATGTTTTGCTCACTAGTATAGATAATATGCCAAGATCAGCCTCAAATATCACTCACTGCAGAACAGTGGAGGCATTGCCTATCCCATCTTCACCGCAAAGCCAAGCCGATAGCTGTGCTAAACTGTGTATGGGGCAGAGCTGAGAATATTATGTAGCGTTTCAGTTTGTCATGCAGCCGTTTCCCAATCAGACAACCAGCATAAGCCACGGCAGAAAATTTAGCTTATATGGCGGGGCATTGCTTGCTTTGTGTTGCATTTCTACAACTCTCGAGCAGCATGCGAGGTGACCTTACATCCATGTCATCCCAGTCACCAAGGCCAGATAGGTTAGCAGTCAGAGTACTGAGGTGTCACGCATTCCAAGTGGGGACAAAAGCATTGTGCAAGCTGGTAGTTTTGAGTCAGTCTGTGTCGGATGTCCGTTCGTATGGGAGAAACTTTGCAGGGTGGCCATTTTGCTAAAGATTCTTCAGTGCCCTATTGAAGCGGCTTCTGCGCCCAGCAATCAATCCAGTCGAGTTGTGCGTGAATGCGAGTGTTGTTGAAGGTTTCGAATACGCTGTGCCCAAGCTCATATGCCTCTTCTTCAGTGACTCCCATGATATCCGGACGGCCAAGCATTGCCGTGACCCATTCCTCGAGGATGTTTTGGGTGAAAATTCCCATTTCTCTCATTTTTGCTTCCTGGTGCCACCGGCCAACAGGGGTGTATGAATGGCGTTCATTGACATTGATGAATCCAACGTCACGCAGCGCTTCAACAATCTGGAATGGAAAGCGTAGATTCCAACCATATATCGTGGTGAAAGGGCCCTCAACAAGGCGGTAGAACTGGTTCATAGGATGATCATCTCCGGCAGTACCGTCAACGGAGAAGACGAAGGGAACAATTTCGTGGATTTCAATCCAAGCACCAGGTTTCAGTTTTCTAGCAGCATTGAATGAGCTGGGGATACGACAAGTTGATTCCGACACAACTTACTCAAAAGCCCTTTCCAATAGCTGTCTCGGTTTTCGCAGAGTCTGTAACAAGGCTCTGACATGAATTAAATCTGCATCTTCATATATCCTTGTCCATGGACGATTTTCATCCTCGAGATCTTCTACTCGAAACTCAACGTTGGGCGGCGTCCAATGCGGTTGGATGGGTGAAAGATCACATCCTATAACCCGTGCGCTGGGAAAGTTTTCTGCGACTAAGGTAGACTCATTGTCAGTCTGAGAGTATTGCAATTTAGACGGAAAAACTGACCATCTTGTGCCCACATGCCAACACCTGTACCAAGGTCTACAATCTTTTGCGGGTTGTCCCCGATGGGGGCTAGAAATAGCTTTCCGTCGAGGAGATAATCTAGGTACAGCTTATGTTTCAGGCCCTCGCGGACCTGCTCAGCATCGTCGTTTGGTAGGCCATAACGACCACAGAGAAAGCCTTGATATCGCCTAACAGATTAGTATTCATCGACGGGGTGCAACAAGAATCAACAACACACCTTCCATGTTCGTAGGAGTAAAGCTCCCTGGTATTAACTGAAGTAAATTCGGAGGTTGCTATTGAATCCCCATAGTCTGACGTTGGGTCTTCTTCTGGGTCTCTGTGGTCCATCGCTATGGAACCTCTGCTTCAAGTCCCCCTTGAAGGATCGTGCTCGAGAAGAGACAAGTTAAGTGGGAAGGAAATAGTATTTGATGTGAATACATGAGCACTCGGCAGAAAAGCAGCAGGTAGGTACTGTAGCAGCAAGCTAAAAGAAGGGCAGAATGATAGGACAGGCCTTGGTGGGTCAAGCATACATACATATGCCGGTGACAGATACCCAGACCTAGGTTGTCCCGATGGTAGGGTACGTATGTCGCAGGGTTAGCCTGTTCATAGGCAGGGGATGCTAACACTGGGGGAATGATATGTGACAGGGACAGTCGAGAGAAGCAAGCACGCACGTCAATACCAGGTATCGACCAAACCAGCCTGTATGATAGGGCCTCGTTGAACGAAAAGTTGCACAGAGCGAGTGACAAGAGTGACAAGACCCAGCAACCCGGACTGTGTGGAGGGGACTAACCGAGTGAATGGTCCCAGCTAGCCAATACGATGAGAGAACGGCGAAGGAGGTTTTCCAGAAGAACGGAATGGAGGGTCGGCGGCGCAGGGAGATCCAGAATCCCAGACAACCGGTACGTTGGTAGCAGACAAGACAGACGGTCGGTGCGGGATAGGCTCTTGGGTTAAGCGGTATGGCCCCGAGCCGTCGGGACAACCCGAAACTCTTTCGAGAAGAGTTCACACTGATCGGCGGCCGTAATGCGACCCAGTTGTGACGTGGTCGAACGAGCGAGCGAGCAAGCGGATGAGTCCAATGTACTAACAAGGCAGCTAATAAAGCTGAGACAGCAGGTACAAAATGGCAACCGTTCTTGATTGTGATAGAGGAACGCCGACAAAAGACAGTGCTGTGGCTAAGGATAGAAGGTTTTCGTGTGAAAATGAAATTCAAGTCGTATTGATCGCGTCTCGTCTCGTCTCGTCTCGTCTCGTCTCGTCCGTCAACTTTAGTTGCACTATGTTCCAATTTGACGGATATATGAGTTATACCTTGTTGGCTTTGAAGCTGAAGAAGCTTGGGTGGGAATGTGGCCGGTCTAATACAACAATAGATCATGCCACTCTCTCGACCATTCCGTTTCTGAGAGCCATTAATTCACGCAGTTGGAGCAGAAAAGTGAGGCGAATAGAAGGCGAGACCTTTCCGTCACCGATTCTGGCCCGAAGGTGGTGGTGTTATGCTCTACCAAAGGTAAGGAAGATACCGTGCCTAGGTAGTAGAGTAACGGCAATAACAGTACCGTACGCATGTATGTACGCATTCTGCATAAGGTAGGTAACTTGGTGCAATCACTGCAATGCCATCCCATCCAAACCCACAGTGGGGGCCAGCCTCCATTTGTGTCCTGCCCACTGTCACTTCGGAGCGGAGGATGTTGGGGCCGTCCGTTCCTCTCCGTCACGGCAAGGGAATGCTCCGTGAATGCATTGCATCCTTGTGTAGTAATGCAGAACTGCCGTACTTGACCAAACCATTGAACTATTTCTGTTAAGTAACGCGGAAAAGGGAATGTCCACTTCCGCTGAAACCATGGTCAAGGATTAGGTGCTCGAGATAGGTGTAGTAAGATATTTCAGTACAAGTGATGCATGCATCCATGGATACCTAGTCTAGGTAGTAGGTAGGTTACACGGAATAGAGAGCCAAGGAACATCCAAAAATCTCTGTCGAGATAATAACAAATATGGCGCTGGATGTCCCCACAGCCTTAGGTCAAAAAGGCAGTACGAACCACAAGTCATAGAGCCTCGGTTTCGAATTATAGGTAAGTACCAGGTAAGGTAGTAGGTAGGGAAGAGTTGAGTGCTGTGCCGTCTGAAGGGCTAGGAGCTTCGGATAAGCCATCATGATATCCGAACTGGCTTGACCAGGGGGCGCCTGACGATCTTTCTGTTTCGCACAAGTTTAAATATATTGAGAGATCTCAAAAATTGGAAGCGTAATCGAAGATGAGTAACTGGGGAGATAGTGAAGTGATATCAATACCTTAGGTACCCTTGTAGGCGACGACTATACCTTAGTATCTCTCACACAGGGATGAAGGCACGGATAACATAAACCAGGCACGGCCAGAATACTTTGGCTTTTCATGCATATACAATTGTATTCATGCCCAAGCAAGCGAAGGTTGGTGATACGGGAACTGACTGAGCAGTGCGAGCTCAGCTCAAAGAGAAGGTCGAATTCTTTTCCATTTCGATTACTTATCCATCCTCTACCTAAGTACTTACTTACCTATGTACCTACTATCCAATTCTAGGTATATGCAAGTCTAGAGGACCTAGGCATGGGAGGATCTTGTCTTCTATAAATGGAAGGAGGGGCAAGCCACTTCCATTCCGCTACGGAGTACGCTGGGCCAATTTACACGCTTGGGGACAGGGAAAGCGCGTCATTCAACCGCCCAAGCCAGGCCAAGCCCAGCCAAGTCGCGTCGCCAAAAACACGTCGGACCAAATTGATTTTCAACGTCTGAGCAACCAAGACCAAGAGCCACTGTAGCACAACCAGCAGGCATAGGTAACGAACGATAACGCCGTCTGTACTTCTACGCTTCGAGCATCTTCATTTCTCATTCCGATAATTGTAACCTATTTATTTTATTTTAAAGGTTCTCACTGTATCATTGTTTATTTCCCTTCTCGACTCTTCCTCGTCTACTTTACGCGATCGTCGCGTCCCGATCCCCCCCCTTGACCATACAACGCCGCTTGCCGTTATACAACTCTCACTCACCCTCATGAAACTTGTGGCATATAGACTTGGCGAACGAACCGCTTCCTTACTATCGTCGACATGTATCTCCCGCGGCAGTTGATCTCTAAACTCTATGTCCACCTCCAACAAACAAGACACCCGCTCTCCCCACCAGTACTTATTCTCGTCGCTCTCGAACCCGATGCTCTCTGTGCTTGCAGAATCCTAACCCGGCTACTGAAACATGACT